ATGTCACAGTTACCATAGATTAAAATTTAACTTTTGTTCTACCTTCGATCAACAATACCAATTGTTAGTACGTTGGTATTGTTGATCGAAGCAATCTACACAGTATGAACTTATTGTATCTTGAAGTCTTGCAGTTGTATGCTTGGGTTGGGATTTAATTTTATTTATTATAGGATCCCAAGCAGATGGTAGCACTCAGACATCTTCTCTATTGAAATTTGGATGTTTTTAACTTCAATAGCCTCGCGAATCATCCTTGGAAGGAATCGGTGTTCTTTAGCGAGGATTTGTGGTCTATAAAACCTGATGTAGTGATGGGGGCGATCCTGTACGTGTTCACAGACTGCAGACTTCCCGGAGCGTCGATTCTTTACGGGGCTTGTGTATTTTTGGTAACCCATACAACTTTGGTGATCTGGCGCACGTATATTTATCATTAAATATACGTGATAAAATCTGTAAAAACTAGTATTATTTAATCGATCAGTCAGCTCACCTAATGCTAACTAGATGCTATGGCCCATATAAATCTTCATCTATCCTCGATTAAGAATCAAAATGCAGTGTCATCATTTGGACTAAGATAGCTCATTTTCAGTAAGAAGGGCCTCTGATTCACTATATTACAAAGCAACTTTAAGGTGCTATGATACGCTTGTAATCCGTGAGAGCTTTTTCCTTCCCCTATCCAGCAAACCCTTCGTGCCGCAATCGTAATATATTATCAGCGAGGCCCTACCACGTAACATCTTAGTTCTCCGGGTAAGACAAGATATAGTGGCGTTCTTTGTTTGTAGTTGCAGGATGTAATAGCAACTTCCTGGACTGCTAGCTCTAAGTAAATTTGAAGATTATATCCACCCCACTGCTAGACCCTCTTTCATCGCCTTGTTCTAGTGTGATTTAGAGAACAACACATTATGTCTTAACCAGTGGCGTAGCTACCTTGGGTGGCACGCGGTGCGGAAGTTGGTGGTGTCACCCCATCGAAAGTAAAAAGCAATAAATTTTATGTGATAAAGGACATGGATCATTTATTATTTATAAAATTGAAGAAATAACAAAACACAATAACAACTAAGACAGAAAAGGAATTTTTATACAATTAAAATTTCTTTTTTCTAGCTTTGACAGCAATAACTTCATCGAAATTTATATTTTGTATTGTCTCGTGTTCGATGGCTAATATACCAAGATTGCCAAGCCGCGATTGGGTCATTGTTGCCCGCAAATAGTTTTTTATTAATTTTAATTTACTGAAACTCCTCTCACATAAACGTACGGATACGCAAACCGTCATGAACAACAGTTGCAACTGAGACGTCAAATATCGCGAGTATGGGACGGGGAATCCCCCACGACAGCGTCAGGCTCTTTTGCGGGAATCCTCGAGTTATACATAGAGCTGAGCTAGTGCTAGTGGAGGAATCCTTAAAAAAGAAATTTTTGTGCTAGCGATTTTTTTTGTTTGTACATTGTTCTTAAAGGTGAGAGACCGGGTGGGTGTCACCCGAAAAAGAGGTGACACCCGGTGCGGCCCGCCCCCACCGCCCCCCCCTTTTCTACGCCACTGGTCTTAACCTCTCGAACGCCAAGCGTCCAAATTTGACCGCTTCGATATTCCGTCAAAATTCAAGAGGTCAAATTTGACCGCACCAACCCACAGCTTAATAACTATAACCCATAAATCCTTATGTTTAGACTACTTTTCTGTAAAAAAATTTGGCATTATATAATCAATAATGAAATTTCCTATCCTCTAGTGGAATAAAAAAACAGTTAGTCTATGGATATTAATTTATATTCTACGTTCATTTCATACGCCATTTTCATTTGGATGTTGGTTTTGTTGATTTTTGGATTTTTCTAGTGTTTTATTAGTATTTTACTATTATGTTTTATGATAAAATTGTTATAAAAGTTTATGTATGAATATAATTTATCTTTTTACGTAAATAAATTCGAGTGATATATAGAAATAATTGTGATTTTCACGCTGCCGACATGAGCTTGGTATGTTTTTTTTTGTTATCAAAATACAATAAAAATCTTTTTGTAATGAAGTAAAACCTGACTTTTGTTTAAACCACAGGATAGAGAATTTTGTATAGAATCTTCTTCGTAGATAAGTAGTCTCTAATTATAAGTTTTAAGGGTTTTAAGTGCTGTGGGATTTGCCAGGCGCATGCACTGCATGGGAATTTTATGAGGATTGAAGGGTTAACATATTTTTATCCAATATAGTCGTATGTTTAGTATGGTAATGGAATGTTTATGAAATTAGTGATTGCAATTTTAAGATAAGTGCACGTGCTCTGCGGCGAAGGAAAGCATTCTGGGCGAACTTACATGTCGGATAAATAATTTGTTTTTATTTTATTTTAACAAACTCTATAATTAATTCTTTTATAATAATATTTTAAATTTAAATTTCAAAGACCAGTCTTTATTTGTACATATGTTCAAAAGATAGAAGTAAAATAAGGGTTATTTGATACATACGTTAAATAGTGCTGTAATAAAGTTATTCCATCAACATGCTAGTGCATTCCCTTCAAGATGCGTCGAATAAAATTTAGAATTTCCAACATAATATTCAAAATTCTGTCTGTACATTAAGTTATCCTTTTGAACGTGAGTTATGCTAACACTATGGTAAAACTTTGCATTCACGGTTAGAACTCAGTTTGTTGAATAAATATTTAAGTTCTGCTTTGGGCAACTATCTTTAGGATATATTGTTACTTCAACATTCTATTAAACAAACAAACTTTTGCAATGTTTGCTGTTAAATTATCTAACCTACCTTTATTATAATCTTTTAAAAGATCAAGAGAATATTTTAAATATAAGTATGTCTTCACATACATAATATAGAAATTTGATTTGTACAATTCTACGCTTTTTTATTCAACTCAATTTTTCTTCTTCATAGAAATATGACGTAACCGATATTGCCAGTACAGTTTGCGATGCGAAAAAGCTTTTAGTAGGTAGCAATATTCCAATCTATTATCATCGGTTTTTATTTAAATTTAGCAGTGGATAGCCGTCACACAGATATATGGATTAACAAATATGAAAAATCACAGCGTCCCTAAAGTACTTTTACTGCTCAGCCTTATGCATCACTTATTTCTTTATAATAGCTATAGGTTTAACTTATAAGAGATTCTACGACAGGTAAATTTACAAGCAGAGACTGACAGTGTTGTCATTTTCCCAATTGTTTTCTGCCTTTATTAATTTCTTAAAAATGAGGCATTTCCAATGTAGGGTATTTGATCATGAGCTAGAGCAAAAACAAAAATAAATGAAGAGACTGGAATGGACACTCCTAACTGCTTCAAAAAAAAAATGACCACAAAATATGCTTAATTAAAACGAGAATTGAGACCCAAATAGTTTGTTAGCATATTGGTATTCTTAGTCTTCATTTAGGAACATTCATTCTGCATTGAAGGCATCAAAAAGTCCTATTCAAAAAGAAAACTTGACCAGGCGGGAACTATTCATAACACAGTTATTGTACGCATAGAATATATAACACAAACACATACAAAACATAAATGTAAACACTCATGCCTGTCACCCAGAGGGGTAGGCAGAGATTACAGACTTTCATTTGGCACGATCTTGATATACCGCTCTCGCCTTCTCCACGACCATATACCTACGCGTATATCCTCGTCGGTTAAGGTTGCTTTATCACCCTATCCTCATTAATTCTTTCTTCATGACCAAACCACCGAAGCATTCCCTTCTTAATCCTAGTTACAACATCATCTTGCAAACCACACTCTTCTCTTACCACTCAATTTCTCACCCCGTCACTCAGATTCAGCCCTAGCATACTCCTTAACAATCGCATTTCTACTGTGTTTATTTTACTCTCATGCTGCTTCTGTCACAAACAACCTTCACTACCATACGTTAAAGTAGGGACTAACACAGCGTTTTGAACTGCCATACGTGCCTTTTTTGGCATATTCCGACTTTCCACAATAGAGACTATACGTTAAAAATTAATCGTATCACACATGATGAAAACAAAATAAACTTAAAAGTTATCTCTGTTCTAAAAAGTGCTCTGTACCGACATATGAGCGCTCACCAACCTTTTGTCCCCTTTAGCTTTTAGTAGAAAAATGTAAAATGTTTTCATTTTTATCGTCGGCGATAGCACGCTGAATAAATGTTGGCCAGTATTTTATTGAACGTAAAATATTTTTAAAAATACGAACATTGTAACAATTGTTGTTACCAAATTCGGTAAGTTAGGAATTTAAAAAAATGGGTGTCCGTTTCCGATCATGGCAATATGCATATAAAGAGCCATTGTAGCTCAGATGGTTAGCGCTCGCTGTAAATTTCACAGTACGCGAGCAAACCGGGTTCGATCCCCGCCGGCACCAATGAAATTGTTAATTTCAATTTTAAGTGCTGATTTACCACGTGCTCGGCGGCGAAGGAAAACATCGTGAGGAAACCTGCATGTCTAAGAAAAAAGAAAAATAAATATTTCGAAGACATGTGAAGTTCGCCAATACGCATTGGGGCAGCGCGGCGGACTATTCCTTGCCCTAAAACCCTCTCAGAAATGAGAGAAGGCCTACGCCCAGCAGTGGGACGTATATAGGCTGTAACTTTACTTTTACGTTACTATAATATCCAAAGTTGTTCTTCAAGGTATATTCTTACTATAAACCATATATTAACCCATACGTATAGTACTCAATATTAATTTAGGCATTATATCGAGTACCGTTTTAAAAACTTTTATTTGAAATATTTCTATAATATTCAAAGTTATTCCATCAACCTATATTCTTCTCAAGCCTCATTATAATACTCATTATAATAATAATAATATTATTTTAATGAGGCATACTAAGTATTCAATATTAACTTAGGCATTATTTCGTAGTATTATTAGTATTCAATATTAATTTAAGCATTATTTCGAGTACCGATTAAAAAAAAATATTAATTGTTATTAGGAGAATCAGTGCATGAGGATAAAGATCCTCGGTGACTGCTACTACTGCGTGTCGGGGCTGCCAGTGTCCAGGCCTAATCATGCGTACAACTGCGTCAACATGGGCTTACAGATGATCGACGCCATACGGTATGTAAACAACCAATAATTTAAGCGACTGTAGCCCAATGGTAGGGTGCGTACCGCGAACTCAAGAGGTCGTGGGTTCGAATCCGCCATTCGACTACTATCGTGAACAACTCCTAACACAAGCATTTCAAGCTTACCAGCAGTGGTTATAGGGAATTTTAGTAATGTGAATAGCATTGCTGGTATATTTAAAAAAAACCTTATTTTTTACGTTGTCCAGCATTAGGACATCAACACACTGTATAAATACGGGTTGGTGACTGAAGTTACTCCTGCACAAAATACGGTATTTTTACACGTAATAGAGTCACGCTGCAGCTATATTATTATTAGAGCAGGAATGGGTCGGCTCGACAAGGGAAAGACCTTGCTTTTACAGAATACTAGCGTAAAATGGCAGCTTAATGCGGCTGTCTTTCGTATGGTGAATGTAGAGAGACTCTTTTTATTGGAAACGAGGCATTCCATGTAGTCCGTAGTCCTCATGGGCTCAAGGGGCCTCCTCCTCGGCCTCCATGAACGACATTCAAAAATGATATAATATCCTAGAATATTATTATTTTTGTTCCCTGACCAACAAACCTCGTACTTTCAAACTGAAATCACAAAAATTTCCTCCTCCTGCAGAATATAAAAATCATTGTTAGAATAAAACCGTCTACTTCATTTTAGTGTCTAAGTACATATTATGTTACTAACTGTAATCTTTTTCGTCATTCTTGCTTCGTCTGGTATGGACCAACATTAAAAATTATCCCATGGAATCCTATTAACGGGATGAAAGTATCCTAAGTCCTACCCAGGTCGAACTCTATCGGTGTGCAAAATTTCATACAAATCCACTCATCAGTTTTGGCGTGAAAGCGTAACAAAGAAACAAACTTTCACGCGTCTGATTTGATTTGATTTGATTTGATTCTTAATGGAGGAAAGATCTACGTTCAGCGGTTCAGCATCCACTAACCACCAGGTGGATTGTGTGCTCGTTTATCACCCTTACGCAACTTATAAAAAAATTCATCACTGCAATCTGTTAGGTTTCGAGAACGGTATTTCCTCGAGCATATACTACTATTTTCCGATTGTTCAATGGGGTTCAAATCCCAGGGTCGGGACAAAATCAGTTGTTGGGGTTTTTTGTCAAGAAATGATTAATAATAATGTCTTCCAGAACGAATTTCGGTCACAGTGACCAGCCTCAACGGAGACTAGTCTTCGGCGCTGGACAAGATTATAGTGCCCAAGTCTATGCGCAAGCACAGGTGCACTCTCTATTCCATCACAGACATGACCGGGGAAAGATCAGATGCAGGACCAACGGCTTTACGTGATTTCCGAGTCACGGGCTGAGACAGCCATCTTTCTGACTCTTGGCAGCTACTGAGAGTTTCTTGACGGAAAATCTCAATTCTGGTATTTCTTAAGGCCTGACCCCGGATTTGAACCTGGGACCTCAGAATCAGCAGTCGTGTTTACAACCTCTAGACCGATGCTGTAGTAAGTCTGTCCGACGCAGACAGGCCGTCGCGACCGTAATTCGTTCTGGAGGATATTATTGTCAGTTAGCAAGGTGCACCCGCCGGGGAAAAATTTGTAACATTACTTATGTATCTAGAAAGGCAGTTGCGAGAGTTTTATCTTCTACATTTAATATAATCCTTTTAGATTTGTACGTGAGGCCACTGGTTTCAACGTGGACATGCGGATTGGAATTCATACGGGTAATGTGCTATGTGGAGTGCTGGGTCTTCGCAAGTGGCAGTTTGATGTTTGGAGCGATGACGTCACACTTGCCAATCACATGGAGTCAGGTGGAATCGCTGGGTAAGCATAATATGGTATCATTTAAAAAATAGTAGTAACTTCTATGTATACAGACGGAGAACAATTTAATTTGCATTTGAAAAAAAGCTGTGATAGTTTAGGCAGGTCAGCAGTCGTAAAATGTATAGATAAAGATACATTTATTGCATAACTGTGTACAATAATATGATCTTAATACAAAACTTTAGGCTCAAAAGTCTACCTCTGTCGGATACGCAACAAGAAAGCAAATACTTACTTATTTACTTACTTATCTTCACGCACAATCCCTAACGGGGTAGCCAGAGAGAACAGATCGCCAAGTGTCACGATCCTTACATACCTCTTACGCTTCTTTCAGATTAATTATCTTCTTCATATATGCACATCTACACGTCTAGGTATCCGAGTACTCTTGACCCACCCCTCTTCGAGTAATTTGCTCACATGGTCCTCGAAAGTTAGTCGCGGTCTACCTCGACACCTTTTAATATTTACTTTCGCGCTATATATTTTCTTCACCATTCGATCTTCTTGAAGAGTACAATCTGCCACTTGCCTAGCGTATGTGGAATATGAGAAAGCCTTTGATTCCGTCGAAATTTAGGCTGTGCTACAATCCCTTCAGCGGTGCCAAGTTGACAGTCGGTATATCGAAGTGCTGAAGTGTTTGTACAGTAGGGCTACGATTGCTATCCGAGTACAGAACCAAAGTTCGAAACCTATCCAACTGCAGAAAGGTGTAAGACAGGGTGACGTTATATCCCCGAAACTCTTCACCGCTGCGTTGGAAGACGATTTCAAGCTACTGGACTGGAAAGGATACGGTATTAACATCAATGGCGAGTACATCACTCACCTTCGATTTGCCGACGACATAGTCCTTATGGCAGAATCGCTGGAGGACCTTAGTACTATGCTCAATGACCTCAATAGTGTCACCCAACGGATAGGTCTTAAGATGAACATGGACAAAACAAAGATCATGTTTAATGTCCATGTCACACCTATGCCGGTAGTTGTTGCACTATGCTCGAAGTTGTTGACGAGTACGTTTACCTGGGACAAATAGTCCGACTAGGTAAGTCCAACTTCGACCGAGAGGTCAATCGACGGATTCAACTCGGCTGGGCAGCGTTCGGGAAATTACGACACATCTTCTCGTCAGGTATACCTCAATCTCTGAAAACTAAAGTGTACAACCAGTGCGTCTTGCCAGTGATGACTTACGGATCTGAGACGTGGTCCTTCACTGCTGGCCATATGAGGACGCTCAAGATCGCTCAGCGAGCTATGGAGAGGGCTATGCTCGGAGTTTCTCTGCGTGATAGACTCAGAAATGAGGATATCCGCAATAAAACCAAAGTGACCGATATAGCCCAACAGATTAGTAAGCTGAAGTAGCAATGGGCCGGCCGTATAGCTCGAAGAACCGATAACCGATGGGGAAGAAAGATTCTCGAGTGGCAGCCTCGTACCGGTAGGCGTAGTGTAAGGTGACCCCCCACTAGATGGAGTGACGACCTGGTAAGACATGCAGGAAGTCGATGGATGCAGGTGGCTCAGGACCGTGCTTTGTGGCGTTACTTGGGCGAGGCCTACATTCAGCAGTGGACTTGTGAAGGGCTGTAATGATGATGATGATGATGATTCGGTCTTCACTCATTCGCTCAACGTGCCCAAACCATCGGAGTACGCACCTATCAATTTTTGTGATAAGGTCATTTTTCAATCCTGCAATATTGCGAATCTGTTCGTTTCGCTTTCGGTCGGCTACGGTAACACCGCACATTTTAAGAAGAGATCGCATCTCCACTGCATTCAACTTGCTTTTACGCTTCTTCTGGTATACCCAGGTTTTGCTGCCATATAACAAAGTCGGTACCAACATTGCGTTATGTATTGCAAGGCGTGCACTCTTCACTACGCCTTGCCTTTTGACTACCGCATTTAGGGCACCATTGACTTTGTTCCCGGCAGCGACTCGCCTGTCCACATCATAATCACATCTTCCATCCCAGCTGAAAGCACTCCCCAAGTATACCATTTCATTTACCTGTTCTAGAAATTCCTGATTTACATATATTTCACATTTCGTTCTCTCTTCGTCCTTTTCAAATACCAGAACCTTAGTTTTATTAGCATTCAAACAGAGACCTTTAATTTCACATTCCTCTTTCATACACGTGACTAATGCCTGTAGTTATGCTTCTGATGGTGCAATAAGCACTGCATTATCAGCATACAGTAGACAATTTATTTTAATGTCACATAATTTCACACCCAAACAGCTATTTATTAGCTTCTGTAAAGAGCTGTCGAGATACAGTATGAACAGCCAGGAAGATATGACACAACCCTGTTTTACGCCCGCTTGGATGCTAAACATGGGTGACAGGTCATGCCCTACCCGCACACAGGCTTTACAGTCATATTAAAGTGACTGCACAGCCCTTAACAATCGACCATCCACACCATATTCCGGCAACAGTTCCCACATTGTCTTCCTTATAACATTATCAAATGCTTTCTCCAAATCCACAAAAGCACAGAAAATCCTCTGGTTAACAGTCAGAAGCTTTTCCGTGATCATGCGGAGAGAAAACATTTGATCCGTGCATCCTCTTCCAGGTCTTAATCCGCATTGTGCCTCCCATAAGAATCTTTCCGATTTCTCTTGCATCCTACGTGTCAAAACCTTCGAGTAAACTTTACTTGCTAAACTGGTCACGCTGATCGCTCGATAGCACCCGCAGTCAAAATGTAAACCTTTACTTTATATAAAGGCACAATGACCGCGGATCGCCAATCATCCGGGACACCTCCTGTCCGCCAGCACAAATTGCACAGCAGATGAAAGCTGTCCCAGACGCGAGGCCCACCGTACTTGACCATTTCAGCAGTAACTCTGTCTAGTCCCGCAGCCTTACCACATTTCAAACTTTAAATCGCACGTTCAATCTCTTTCATGCTGATGACCTCAGTGTCATCGAGGTCCGTGTCTGACGTGCTAGTCACGGCGTCATCCCCGGATTCTTCACTAAGATCATGACACGAATACATTTCTCTATAAAATTCGCTCCATCGCTGCATAATGTCCGATTTTTCTGAGAGGACGTCATTGGTTTTTGGGAGCACTTTGTTCATTCTTAAGGCTGTCGCACCACTCCGGGTCCAGAAGAGTTTGGAGTTTTCCTTAAAGTTGTGCGACAACCTTTCGTCCGCTTCTATTCTACACCTTTCACGTACTTCCTCAATCAATGTTTTCGCATGAACTTTCTGCAGCTTATATCTTTATTTCATCTTCTCTCTCATATGCTTATCGTTACTAGAGGCCAAGTAGTCTAACCATCCTTTTTTTCTCTTCTTTACAGCTTCCCTCACTTCATCATACCACCATGCATCTCTTCTTTTACTACTACCTCTTTTTGTCGTTCCACATACTTCTTCCGCTGCACTTACCATTGCATTCCTAAGTTTCTGCCATGTTCTTTCCACACATTCTTTTCTGCCATCGATGGTGTCAAGCTTTTCGGCTACCCTCGTGTGATATTTGTCCTTAGTATCCGCTTCCTGAAGCTTCCAGCTTCGGATGCGACAGACCGACTGTGGTTCTGTTACTGCCGTCCCGTAGCGCCAACCCGCGAACAAACCCCTGAATATAGTAATTACTAGATAGTAATACGTTCCCAGGTCAGCACCCCTGAGCACTCGTGTATCCATCACCTGTTTTCTCAGTCCGTCATCCACCAGGAACAAATCAATCATACTTTTCTCATTCTTTCTTTCTCTAGTGTACATATGGATTTTCCTGTGATTAAACATAGTGTTTGTCACAAGAAGACCCTTTTCCTTGCATACAGCCAGTATAAGCTTGCCAGCATTATTAACCCTTTTATCGCCAAATTTTCCAAGCACCGACTCCTACCCTGGTCGAGCGATACCTACCCATCCATTCAAATCACCACATATAACAGTTCTTTCGTTTTCCTTAACCAAATCTAGAACTTCTCTTACATTCTCCCAAAACTCCTCCAGCTTAGCCCTGGACGACGAAGCTACCGGCGCATAAACAGCCAAAAAGAATAACTTCGTCAGTCCCATTTTAAAGCGAACCCAGAGAAGTCTTGAGTTCACAACCTTATATCAGTCATAAGATCGACCAACCGGGACGACAGGCGTTCTCGCTTGTCGGGACTCCGGACCATATAGCTAACGTCCCGCCAGGAAGCTCTTCAGTACCACTGCCTTTCCGTTTGGTCTTCGTCATACACACGACATCTAATTCTGTTTCTTTCATTATTTCGATCAACTCATTCGTCTATCTCTCATGCCCCCTCTAACATTCCACGTGCCAACTCTGCACTCCGTCCACCACCTTTCGCCGTGTCGGGCTGTGCGTGACGGGTGGCGGTCCCCATCGCCGCTTTGCGCGCTGCATTCCACACCAACGGGGACGAGCTGGCGTGCATCGCCTTGGGGGGGACGCCCTAACCCTCGTTTGCATGGGTGCGCAGCTGTGTAGAACTGCAGCCCTGAAAAGGGCTGGCAGGGGTCGCGACGAGCACGCTTCTACAATGACTCCCATAAACCCCTAGAAAGAAAATAAATTTGTAATTTGCTACTTACTAACATTAATTTTATCAAAAAACTCATTGAAATTGAAAAAACATTTTCAATTAACAATTTCTTTAATTTTGCTTTGAACATATTTCCATTTAATTATTTGATAGCTGGTGGTTACTGATTGTATACACGAAAAGCAGTAATATAGGTACTTTTATAGTAAACTAGCTGTTACCCGCAGCTTCGCCCGCATGGTCACTGGGAAATGAACTATCCATTGCTTTATGAATTGAAAGAAAACTGAGTTTTATGGATTCATCAGAGATGCAGCCATTAAAAGTAAACTGAGCAAAATTGATTCGTCAGCCTATTTAAATGTTTTGAAACGCAGCGTATAGGAAAGCATGAAAATAGCCTGTTTATTTCAAATGTAAATGGGATATTTTTTTCATTAA